ATTTCTTCCTTTGAGGCTTATGCATGTTGTCTCCCTGGTCAGACTCCGGAATTGGGAGCGTGGCATGGAAACTCAAAATCTAAGAGCTACCCAGGACTGAAAAGCTCCTCCTGTGCCCAATGTGTCCTGACAACACCTGGCAGACAGAGCCAGACCCCCCGAGTTTGCTGCTTACCCCTTCCTTGTAGCCACAAAGGGCCAGAGTCTGACCCACAGAGGCTGAACATGACAAGGACATTATCTCTAAGGGCAGAATCCAGGCATCTTCTCTGTCAGAAAAATGAGGCAGGGTAGAGCAATGCTTAAGATGTGTTCTTTAAAACTACAGGATCCTTAGCACCACTTAGATGTTTAGTGCTGTCCAAGACCAATTAGTTCAGTTAGCTGGGTTTTTTCTGCGTGGGGGTGCGTGTAAGTAACATTGCAGCAGTTTCTGTGGCATTCTCTTCCCTTGGGGTAGGTGGTCTTTTTCCCCAACAGCTGAGAGCTGGAACATGCTACAAAAGGATTTAAAGCTTAAATAACCTTTTGTGTACTGATCTTCTTAGTTCCAGGCCAGATAAGTCCTTGGCTGGTGCTTGTAACTGTTGGTCATGGTATGTTTTCGTATTTATGACCTTCGCTGTTCCCTGACCCTGGGGCGGCCATTCTCATCCCTCCAAGAGGAAGGGGATAATGTCTTCACCTGGAAATATGTTCTGGGCTTTGAAAAGGGCTTGGTTGGGTTTGGCAGCAAGGAAATTTTTAGTGGGGAAAGGAAACGCCTCTTGCTGCATCCCACCCCCACAACTGTCTTTCATTTCTGACTGCTGAGATGATGGTGTTGGATCAAAGCTGCAACAGGCAGCAACAAGCAATTGTCAAGGGGAGTCTAAAGCAGGGGAATGACCGCATAATGCCAAGACACTGTCTCTGATGGCTGAAATTCCAGCTGCTGCTACACCTGGCCCCTTCTCCTGTAATGAAGGAGGATTTTTTTTTTTTCTTATGCTTTTGAAGCTGGCTAGCTGCACCTCTGGAGGACGTACCTCATCCCACAGATGCTACATTGTGCCATCTGATTGCTTTTAGGTGTGGGGAAGTTACTGTGCACTTATTGCCACTCGGGATCAAGGTGTGTGTGTGGAGGGGAGCTGTGAATAACTTAGGTGATTAGAGGTCTGCACAGGAAAGGAGGACGATTAGCAGTATGGGCCACTGGATACTAACCTGTGTCCTTGCACCAAGTATCAGGCCTTGCTGACTCCTTGGCCACTTGCAAGTCCCCTTGCCCTCTGTGCCAGTGAGGAATATGATGGCAGCTGCCCCTCTTGCAGGTCAGGTACCACTGCTCCTTTTTGCTTTTCTCTGCTCAGACCTTCCTGTCTCATCTGCCAGTAGTAGTGTGTGGCTCAGCAGAACAGCCAGTTAATGGCAAGCAAGGGAAAAGGAAACTTTCTTCAGATCCTGTTCCTCTTTCTTTCTCTTCCCACTTTCTATCTCCTTTGGGAGTTTAAACTCCTTGGGAGATGAGGGTGATGCGCCACTGGGAACAGCTCCAAGGCCGGCATTTGTTGTTTGCCTGTGGAGAACTGTTGCTCCCCGGCCTATCGTGGTGGTCTGCATGTCTTTAGGTGACAAATGCCCCTGCCTCAAGGATGCTTCTCCATAAGGTAGGCTACTCCAGAGGTTGCTTTGCAGCAACTCTTGGAGCTATTCTGCCAAGCCCGATGTTTGAAATGGTCCGCTGATCTGTCTGGCATGGTAGTCCTCATGCTGTAAACACTTTGAATGCACAAGTCCTACATTGTCCTTTCCTGTGACACAACATGACAGACACAGGACAGGGCACGAGAGCTGTTGTGAAAACTGAGCCAAAGTTAGCTGTGCCCTGCAAGCCACCCCAGATCCTCTACCTTTTAAATATCTAGTCTTTGTCCATCTCCTCCCTGCTTTTGAAAGCATTTTTGGCAGAGTGGGTTTTTTTGTTTTTTGGTTTTTTTTAAGAACCCTCTAATTTCTTGTTCGGTTTTTCTCCCTCTCCTGAGCCCTTTGAAAGTGGCTTTACGCTGTCACTGACACCAAACTGACACTTTGCGTTTCCCCACTTCTTATCCCTTTATGGCAACAGATGTTGAAATTTTGTATCCCTTTTATCTGTCCCTCTTTGCCCTCTTCCTGTAATTAGGTTTCCCTTGTTAGCAGTACAAAGTGGCCCGGTTTGCTGCCTGGCCTTTTGAGCCATTGTGTCTGAGCACATTTTTTTCCTCCTCTTTCGGAAGAGTTCCTTCCCCCTTAAGTAATAGGCAGGGTGTGGGCCAAAGCTGTGGCTTTTTCTTGTTTCTTTGTTCTCCATTTATCTCTGCCACCTTTTTCAAAGGGATGGGGAAAAAAAAATAGAGAGTGCATGGAAGGGGAAGATACAGAGTTGCATTTCTTGACCGTCAGGCCCCCCCCTGCTCTTCAGGTGTTCAAAGCAGGTGCCTTTGATGTCTGCACGTTTTTGGGGAGGTGGGAGGTGGAGGATTCATGAGAGTGGCTTGGGAGTGGAGGAGAAGGGAGATTCAGGTGTGTGGCTGGTGCCCTCAGCAGAGGGGTGGGGAGGAGTCTTTCAGTGTAGCCAGGCAGCTGCTGAGCAGGTTAGTAATCCGTATTTGCCTCTAGTGCTATTGCATTGTGCTCTTTCTCTCTGTGAGCCAGCATGAGCGTTACCATCATAAGCAGCTGGCTGAAGTTTGCTAACTTGCTGCTGCTTGATCTCTGGTATGTGCTTCCATAGGACCCTTGCTAGGTTACATCTGTCTGTGCAGTGGGGTGGGCAAGAATTAGTTGCTGTCTTTCAAATTTCGGTGTATGTTGATCTGCATCCACTTTGGTGGCTCTTTAGAGCCATTGAGTGAGTGAACGTGAGCGATTGTCAACAAGGAAGGAGAGCTTTAAAATTTGGGCTTCCTTCTGCTGTTCTTAAACAGTGAGTGTAATTTGACAGTTGCAGTGTATAGCACTGAACACCCTGGTAAGCTGATCACTATTGATGCTTTCCTGTTTAAATCCAGTCCTTCTTGGCTTTGTGTCCTGTTGTGCTCCAGTTTTCTTTCTTTTTTTTTTTTTTTTTGATGTGTGGAAGTAGGTAAATGAAATGAGAATCTGCAGGTCTAGTTCTTGGTTATAAAGCTTGCTAAATGTTTTCAACAAAAGCTTTTAATGTAGAAGCTTGGCCCAAGATGCACAAGC